AGCCTCCTGAGTAGCTGGGACTACAGGTACCCCTCCACCCCCCAATGCCTGGCTATTTGTTTTGTTGCAGTTTGGCTGGGGCCCGGTTCAAACCCGCCACCCTCGGTATATGAAGCCAGCACCCCAGTCACTGAGCCACAAGCACCGCCCTATTTTATTTTTTGAGACAATGTCTCAAGCTGTCACCCTGGGTAGAGTGCTGCAGCATAGCTTATAGCAACCTCAAACTCTTGGGCTCAAGCGATTCTCTTGCCCTTTCTATTTTTAGTAGAGATAGGAGTCTTGTTTTTGCTCAGGCTGGTCTCAAACTTGTGAGCTCAAGCAATCCATCTGCCACAGCCTTCCAGAGTGCTAGGATTACAGGCATGAATCACTGTGCCCAATCCTATTCAGCCTTATTAAAAATAAATGATGTCGTGCTATATGTTACAACATGGACGAACCTGGAATATATTATGCTAAGTGAAATGAGCTAGACTTAAAAGGACAAATAAAGTATGATTCCATCTAAATGAGATGGATAGACAAGAAGAGACAAATTATGAGACAGAAGTAGACTAGAGATTAGCAGAGATTGGACAAAGGGATACTGTGCAAATTAACCCTTGCAGTTCCTGTCAGGGGTGATAAAAATAGGTAGTAAAAGGGCCAGGTGTGGTGGCGTACGCTTGTAATCCTAGAGCTCTGGAAGGCTGAGGCGGCCGGATTGCTTGAGCTCAGGTATTTAAGACCAGCCTAAGCAAGAGCAAGACCCCGTCTCTAAAAATAGCTGGGCACTGTGGTAGGCGCATATAGTCCCAGTTACTTGGGAGGCTGAGGCAAGAGAACCACTTGAGCCCAAGAGTTTGAGGTTGCTGTAAGCTATGATGCCACGGCACCCAACGCAAGGGCAACTGAACGAGATTCTGTCTCAAAAGAAAAAGAGAATAGGTAGTAAACATGGATCTACAATACTGTGATTATAAACGCCAGTAAACTGTATACTTAAAAAATGGTTAAAATGGGCTGGGAGCAGTAGCTCATGCTTGTAATACCAGAGGGTTGGGAGGCTGAGGTGGGAGGAAAGCTTGAGGTCTGAAGTTCATTGAATCTAGCCTGGGTGACAAAGCAAGACTTTGTATCTCCCAAAAGAGAAAAAAAAAATTAAAACAATACATTTCATGTCATAGGTATTCTACCCCAATTTTTTCCCCCTGTTTTATTTTGTTGAGACAGAGTTCTATCTACCCTGTGCCCTGAGCAGAGTGCAGTGCCGTTGGAGCTCACTGCAACCTCCGGCTGTAGGCATCCTGCTGCCTCAGCCTCGTAAGCCGCTGGGATTATAGGTGCTCACTGCAGCGCCCGGCTGGGTTTTTCCATTTTTTTTTCATGAGTCGGAGTCTCACTTTCGCTCAGGCGAGTCTCAAACTCCTGAGCTTGAGTAATCCTCCCTCCTCCGCCTCCCACAGTGCTGAGATTACAGGTGTGAGCCACCATGCCTGGCTCTACCCAAATTTTTTAAAACTAAAAATGTAAGCTTGCACCTGTAGCTTAATGGTTGGGGTGCCACACACATGCACTGGGGCTGGAGGGTTCAAACGTGGTCCAAGCCTGATAACCTAACAAACAAAAAACAAAATAGCCAAGAATTGTGGCGGGCGCCTGTAGTCCCAGCTGCTAGGGAAGCTGAGGCAACAGAAGCACTTGAGCCCAAGAGTTTGAGGTTGTTGCGTCTTGTGACTGACACAGCACTCAAGCGGGTGACAAAATGAGATTCCATGTCCAAAAAATAAACAAAAAAAAAGTACTTATTACCCACCAAAAACCAATTGTATACATAAGTAAATGAATAAACTATGTATGAATTTTATTTTAATAAAGCCACAAATAAATGAATATATAATCTGAAACCACTAGAAATTAAAACATATAAATGTGTACATATATAATTCAGAAAATCATATATGTATATATATAATTTATGTTCCACAATAAAGATTCTGAAACAACTTATTAAAAGTGAGAGAACTGGCCAAGCGAGGTGGCTCAAGCCTGCAATCCTAGCATTCTGGTAGGCCAAGGTGGGTGGACTGCCTAAGCTCGCACGTTGAAGACCAGCCTGAGCAAGAGTGAGACCTTGTCTTGAAAAGTAGTCAGGCGTTGTGATGGGTACCTGTGGTCCCAGCTACTCAGGTGGCTGAGGTCAAAAAATCGCTTGAGCCCAAAAGTTTGAGATTGCTGTGAGCTGTGATGCCACAAAACTCTTGAGACTATGTCTCAAAAACAAAAGTGAGAGAAAATTAGAGTGCCATCTAACTTTTCCCACACAATCCCTTGTGTGGGAAAAGCCTCTACTAAAACCCAAAAAACTAGTGGGGCATCATGGCAAATGCATGTAGTCCCAGCTACTCAGGAGGCTAAGGCAAGAGGATTGCTCAAGTGCAGGAATTTGAGGTTGCCGGGACCTACAAGAGCATAACACTCTACCCTGGGTAACAGAGAAAGACTGTCTCAAAACAAGAAAATTTAAAAAAGGGTAAAAAAGAAAATATAAATCAGAGATTTCACATTTACTAAAACTAAGAAGTACAACAGGCACAACCTTATCAGAATAAAAGAATTCAAGGAGCAAGGTGGCGCCTGTGGCTGAGTGGGTAGGGCACTGGCCCCATATACTGAGGGTGGCAGGTTCAAACCCAGCCCTGGACAAACTGCAACAAAAAATAGCCGGGCATTGTGGTGGGTGCCTGTAGTCCCAGCTATTTGGGAGGCTGAGGCAACAGAATCACCTAAACCCAGGAGTTGAAGGTTGCTATGAGCTGTGTGACGCCACAGCACTCTACTGTGGATGACTAAGTGAAACTGTCTCCACAAAAAAAAAAAAAAAAGAAAGAAAGAAAAGAAAGAATTCAGAGAGCAATGTTTCTATAACCTTTCCTAAGTTATCTACTATAGAATTAAGCATTAAACAAAATGACTAAAGACCGATTAACCTATGGACTAGGAAGTTAATGGTAAGCATTAAATATATATGTACCCACAGAACTAAGACTAAATAAAGGTTAAAACAAAAAGTATAGTGTGTATATATATAACATATTATATGATATTACTATATACTTTGAGAATGCAGAAATAGTTAACTGTTTTATAAAATGAGAGAAACATACAAAACAGATTTTTTAATTTTATTTTGAGACAGAGTCTCACTTTGTCAACCTATAATTTTTCGCCTTTTTTTTTTTTTTTTTTTTGCAATTTTTGGCTGGGGCTGGGTTTGAACCCGCCACCTCCAGCATATGGGACTGGCGCCATACCCTTTTGAGCCACAAGCACCACCCCACTTCGTCAACCTATGTAGAGTAGTATGGTGTCATAGCTCACTGCAACCTGAAGCTCTTGGGCTCAAATGATTCTCTGGCTTCAGCCTTCCCAGCAGCTATGACTATAGACACCCGCCACAGTGCCCAGCTAGTAGTATAGACAGGTCTTGAATTCCAGAGCTTGCTTCAAGCAATCTGCCAATCTTGGTCTCTCAGAGTGCTAAGATTACAGGCGTGAGCCACTTACGCTGGACCATAAGAAAATACAACTTTTGGACTGGGCACGATGGCTCACACCTGTAATCCTAACATTCTGGGAGGCCAAGGCAGGTGGACTGCTCAAGCTTAAGAGTCTGAGACTAGTCAGAGCAAAAGTGAGTACCCATCACTACTAAAAATAGAGAATCTGAGGCAAGAGGATTCCCTGAACCCAAGAGTTTGAAGTTGCTATGATGCTATAGCACTCTACCCAGGGTGACAGCTTGAGATTCTCTCTTAAAAAAAAAAAAAAAAGAAAATGTAACTTTTAAATTTGTATTTAATAACATCCCTTAAAATACATTAAGTAAGGTGGCGCCTGTGGCTCAAAGGAGTAGGCCGCCAGCCCTGTATGCCGGAGGAGGCAGGTTCAAACCCAGCCCCCCAAAAAACTGCAAAAAACCCCCAAAACATATATATATATAAATATAAATAAAGTAAAACATATAAATGGATAAATTCATAATTATAATAACTTAAACAGAAAAGGCCAAACATAATTGGAAAAATGGTACCAAGTAAAGAAGACAATTAATATAATGCAGTCAATGAAATATTATCTATCTGAATAGTTAACATTTAAAGGAAAAGTCATACTTGTAATGACAAGTAAAAGCCATCGTCTGGTCCTGTCAACTCAGCCCAAATCTTGGTAGCTTCTTCCCATGACATTCCCCTCTCCACGCTAATCTGTAAAATACAAAACATTTAAAATCATTTCTCTAGATGCCTCACAGGAGGACTAGAGGCTGACATGTATATGTTTCCCAAACTTACTGTATATAATTCTACATGGCCAGAGGTTGAATACCCTGGGGTCAGAAACTTCTTAACATCACTTTTCCTCACCTTTTCATCTCCAGAACCAAGATCTTAAATAAGAAAAAGCAACAAGTAAATGTAAAAGGAACATTTTTATCAGGAATACACATATTTTTTATTTATTAATTTTTTATTTTTCTAGAGACAAGTCTCACTTTGTCACCCTCGGTAGAGTGCTATGGCATCACAGCTCATAGCAACCTCTAACTCTTGGGCTTAGGTGATTCTCTTGCCTCAGCCTCCCGAGTAGCTGGGACTATAGGTGCCCACCACCAACAGCTGGCTATTTTTTTCTTTTCTTTTCTTTTTTTTAGACGGAGCCTCAAGCCATCCCCCTGGGTAGAGTGCCATGGCATCACAGCTCACAGCAACCTCCAACTCCTGGGCTCAAGCAAGTCTCCTGCCTCAGCCTCCCAAGTAGCTGGGACTACAGGCGCCCACCACAACGCTCGGCCATCTTGCAGTCAGTTTCAAACCCCAAACCTGGCTAGGGCCGGGTTTGAAGCCGCTACCCTCGGTATATGGGGCCAGCGCCCTACTCACTGAGCCACAGGCACCGCCCAGGAATACATATATTTTTAAAATATCCCTACTTACCTAAGATTCCCATATCATATCTTCCATTTTTTTTGGCATTTTGAACAACTGCAGTAAGTGTATCCGCAAAATACTGAAATAATGCATTTTGTTGATGTACTTCCATGCCTAAAATTCTATTTAAGAACTTTCCTATGTTGTTATAATCTGCAATGACAAGATTACATAGATCATTTCATGCATTCAAATGGTAACTGTTATTCATCAAGGCCTAGTTCGAACACCACTTTCTTTTCTATAGTATTCCTTTGCAACTTTCACACTGTCCTTGCAACAGAGCTACCTACCATTTGCACATCTGCACCTCTAGCAATGAAAACAACTACAATTTGTGCACAAAAGATGTTTGTTGAACTGAATTTCTGCATGTTCACTTGAGAAAGCATGAACACAATATAAGCACCTCAGAAAATTAGTTCTCCAGTATTAAATCTTAACCTGTGAAATTACAAGTACTCTCTAATCCAGAGAACTGCAACTGTGCGTGCATGGTCAGAATACCCAGGAGCTTTGGCAAACCACTAATGTTGGAGCTCCACCCCTGGTTTCTGTAATTTTTAAAAGTTTGACAGCTTAGCTCATGCTTGTAATCCCAGAACTTTAGGAGGCCAAAGCAGATGGATTGTTTGAGTTCAGGAGTTAGAGACCAGCCTGAGGAAGAGTGAGACCCTATCTCTGAAAATACCCAGGTGTTGTGGCAGGTGCCTATAGTCCCAGCTACCTGGGAGGTTGAGGCAAAAGATCACTTGAGCCCAAGAGTTCGAGGTTGCTGGAAGCAATGACACCATGGGACTCTACCCAGGGTGACAAAGTGAGACACTGTCTCCAAAAAAAAAAAAAAAAGTTAAAAATGAATAAAAAACAGAACAATTGACTTGGCGCCTATAGCTCAATGGCTAGGGCTCCAGCCTCATACACTGGAGTTGGCAGGTTTGAAACTGGCCTGGATCAGCTAAACAACAACTGCAACAAAAAAAAAGGAGGGGTGGGGCGGCGCCTATAGCTCAGTGAGTAGGGCGCCAGCCCCATGTACCAAGGGTGGTGGGTTTGACCTTGGCCCTGGCCAAACCGCAACAAAAAAATAGCCAGGCGTTGTGGCAGGCGCCTGTAGTCCCAGCTACTCAGGAGGCTGAGGCAAGAGAAACGCCTCAGGCTGGGAGCTGGAGGTTGCTGTGAGCTGTGATGCCGTAGCACTCTACCAAGGGTGACCAAGTGAGACTGTCTCTAAAAGAAAAAAAAAAAAAACTTACTTAAAAAAAAAATAGCAGGGGCGTTGGGGCATTATGGTGGGCTCCTGGAGTCCCAGCCACTTGGGAGGCTGAGGCAGATAATCTCTTAAGCTGAAGAATTTGAGGATGTTGTGAGCAGTGAACACCATGGCACTCTACCAAGACAGTGGGACTATCTCAAAAACAAAAAAAGAAGTTATATGCACACACAAAGTTAATACTACTACCTTTATCGAGAGTAAGAATTCCTGAGCGATCTTCAACATTTATCAGGCCAACTCCTATAAGTCCTTGTCGAACATCTATAAGAAAATAAACTTACATAAAATCTTATAATCCAAATGAGTCAAGGAACTGTTACCTAACTCATTACACTAGATCATTTTCTAGTTATTAAGACACAGCCTATTTATCTTCCACAGTTCCAATTACCTAAATAGATCCTATAGTCCCCAAAGGTCTGTAGATACTCCAAAATCATTGAGTTCTCAAGCCTCACATTATATTTTATTACTTTATTAAAATAACTTCACTTTCCAAAAGCAGTCCTGTATAGTGGAGATCTTTTGTCTATGAAGTTCTCATCCACAGAAATCTAAATAATTTTACACATGTAACAGGTGCTTTAAAAAGCATAGTAGTGTGCAGGCTCCAATCCAGACTTATAGAAATAAGGGTACTAAAGAATAAGGTCAATTATGACCCAGAAAATCTTTCTGAAAAGCTATCTGATAATGGGCTGCACCTGTGGCTCAGTAAACAGGATACTGGCCCCATATACTGAGAGTGGCAGGTTCAAACCCAGCCCTGGCCAAACTGCAACAAAAAAATAGCCGGGCACCTATAGGCCCAGCTACTCAGGAGGCTGAGGCAAGAGAATTGCCTAAGCCCAAGAGCTGGAGATTGCTGTGAGCTGTGATGTCACAGTACCCTACAGAGGGCAACAAACTGAGACTCTGTCTCTAAAAAAAAAAAAAGCTATCCTATAGGGAGAAAAAAGTCATCTTTATATAAAGACAACTATGTAAAGTTTAGCTGCTGGCAAAAAAACTAGAAACCATTTCAACATTAATAGCGAACAATTAATTATAACCATACTGTGCAATGTTATGGAATTGCTGGTTAGATACATGAGTTAATTCTATGGCTACTTACTTACAAGATTGTTTTAATTACTATTTCCATAACAAGCAATCATTTGAATATTCTCTTCTGAAAATTATTTTTATTCTTAGTACTTTTTTCTACCAGGTTGTCTTTCCTTTTATCAATTTTCAGTGACTATATACATTATGGATATTTGTCCATTCTCTTATAAAAGTTGACTCTATCAGTATTAACATTTACTTGTGATGTACTATTAACTGAGAAAAGTACATTCCCAGCAATATCATACCACATAAAAGAAAACACAGACGTAGAGGACTGCTTCTGTTCACAGTGTCAACATATGTGACCTCAGGTGAAAACGAAAGAGGGTGTTAGGGGATTACTAACTATCTTTATTATATAAATATTTCCAGATTATTTTCTTGGTTTTTTTTTTTTTCTTTTTTTTGGTTTTCTTTTTAAGATAGAATCTCAAGCTATAGCCCTGGGTAGAGTGCCATGGGGTCACAACTCACAGCAACCTCAAACTCTTGAGCACAAGTGATTCTCTTGCCTCAGTCTCCCAAGTAGCTGGGGCTACAGGCGCCCGACATAATGCCTGCTAGCCATGATGTACGTGGCCAGCGCCCTACCCATTGAGTTACAGGGGCTACCCTACAAATTTTTTTTTTTTTTTTTTTTGAAACAGAGTCTCACTATGGCATCGTCGGTAGAGTCCCATGGTGTCACAGCTCACAGCAACCTGAAACTCTTGGGCTTAAGTGATTCTCTTGCCTCAGCTTCCCAAGTAGCTGGGACTATAGGCATCCACCAGAATGCCTGGGTACTTCTTGGTCGCAGTTCTCATTGTTGTTTTTTAGGTGGCCCGGGCTGGGCTCGAACCCTCCAGCCTTGGTGTATATGGCTGGCACACTACTCACTGAGCTATGGGTGCCAACCCCTAGATTATTTTCATTACTTACAATAAATAAATAATCTTTAATTTAAAAAAACTGAAAATAGGCTTGGCGCCTGTAGTTCAAATGGCTAAGGCACCAGCCACATATATCTGAGCTGGTGGGTTCGAATACAGCCTAGGCCTGCCAAACAACAATGACTACTGCAACCAAAAAATAGCCGGGCATTGTGGCGGGTGCCTGTATTCCCAGCTACTTGGGAGGCTGAGGTAAGAGAATCACTAAAGCCCAGAAGTTGGAGGTTGCTGTGAGCTGTGATGCCGCAGCACTCTACGCAGGGTGACAGTTTGAGGCTCTGTCTCAAAAAAAAGTGGAAATAAGGCTGGGGGTAATGCCTTACAACTGTAATCCTAGCACTCTGGGAGGCTGAGGCATGTGAATTCCCTGAGCTCAGGAGATTGAAACTAACCTGAGCAAGAGGGAGATCCTGTCTCTACTAATAATAGCCAAGTACTGTGACTACCTACTTGAAAGGCCGAGGCAAGAGAATCAACAGAGGCCTAGAGTTTGAGGTTGCTGTGAGCTATATGACTGCCCTCTAGCCTGGGTGACAGGACAGGACAGGACAGGACAGGAAAGGCAAAGGGGGCTCAGTGCCTATAGCTCAGTGGTTACAGCGCTAGCCACACAAACACACCGGGACTGGAGGTTTACGCCTGGCCTGGGCCTGCTAAACAACAATAACCACTACAACAACAAAAATACCTAGTGGCTCGGCACCTGCAGCTCAGCAGCTAGAGCACCAGCCACATACATCAGATCTGGTGGGGGCAAATCCAGCTCAGGCCTCCCAAACAGCAATGAAAACTAAACCAAAACACAGCTGGGTGCCTGTCCTAGCTATCTGGGAGGCTGAGGCAAAAGAATAGCTTAAGCCCAAGAGTTAAAGGTTGTGAGCTGTGACGCCATGGCACTCTACCCCAAGGAGACAGCTTGAGACTCTGTCTCAAAAAAAAAAAAAAAAGAAAAGAAAAAAATAGCTAGGTGTTGTGGTGGGTGCCTGTAGTCCCTGCTACTTGAGAGGCTAAGACAAGAGAATCACTTGAGCCCGAATTTGAGTTTGCTGTGAGTTGTGATGCCGCTGCACTCCACTGAGGCTGACATAGTCTTCATCTCAAAAAATAAATTTTTTTTCACCAACTTATTTTCTAAAATATATTCAGTTTCCCAAATTATTAAAATCTCTTCTATTTACATTTATGAGATAGGCCAAAATCTACCCAAATTCACAATATGGGTTTAAAAATCTGTATGGTACTACCTATTATTTTAATCACGGAAATTTCTAAGCATGGAAAAGTAAAAAGATTACTCTATGAGCCATGTGTATGCATCCAGCTTTAACAATTATTAACTTATGGCAAAATTTGCTTCATCTACAATCCTCAGAATAAACCTAGTATTTATTTAACTATTAAAAGTTAAAATCAGCTCAGCGCCTGTGGCTCAAGTGGCTAAAGCACCAGCCATGTACATCCAAGGTGGTGGGTTCGAATCCAGCCCAGGCCCGCCAAACAACAATGACAGCTGCAACCAAAAAATAGCCGGGCATTGTGGCAGGCGCCTGTAGTCCCAGCTACTTGGGAGGTGGAGGCAGGAGACTCGCTTGAGCCCAGGAGTTGGAGGTTGCTGTGAGCTGTGATGCCACAGCACTCTACCCAGGGGGACAGCTTGAGGTTCTGTCTCAAAAAAAAAAAAAAAAAAGAAAGTTAAAATCTAGGGAGGTGGCGCCTGCGGCTCAGTGAGGAGGGCGCCGGCCCCATATCCCGAGGTTGGTGGGTTCAAACCTGGCCCTGGCCAAACTGCAAGAAAAAAAAAGCTGGGTGTTGTAGCAGGCACCTGCAGTTCCTGCTACTCAGAAGGCTGAGGCAAGAGAACTGCCTAAGCCTAGGAGTTGGAGGTTGCCCTGAGCTATGTGATGCCATGGCACTCTACTGAAGGCAATAAAGCAAGACTCTGTCACTTAGAAAAAAAAAAAAAAGAAAGAAAATTAAAATCTAGGGTGCGCCTGTGGCTTAGTGGTTAGGGCAGTTCGAACCCGGTCACAGCCAAACTGCAACAAAAAATAGCCGGGTGTTGTGGCGCCTGTAGTCCCAGCTACTCAGAAGGCTGAGTCAAGAGAATCGTTTAAGTCCAAAACTTGGAGGTTGTTACAGCAATCTACCGAGGGCAATAAAGGGAGACTCTGTCTCTAAAAATAAAAAAGTTAAAATCTATTTCTGAAAGTGATTTATTAAATCTACTAAAACTACTTTGCTCTGTTAGTATTAGAGTAGTATTGGCTAAGATAAGAGTATCACTTGAGGCCAGAAGTTTCACACCAGCATGGATAACACAGTGAAAACAGACTCTACAAAGGATAAAAAAAATTAGCCAGGCATAGTAGTATGTACCTGTAAGGTGCGCTACTAAGGAGGCTGAGGCAGAAGGACCGCTTAAACTCAACAGTTCCATCCTATCACAAGCTACAATTACACCACAGCACATTAGCCTGGGAGGCAGGATGAGACCATGTCTCTTAAAAATTTCAAGGAAGGCTCAGGGCCTGTGGCTCAAGTGGCTAAGGCGCCAGCTATATACACCTAAGGAGGCGGGTTCGAATCCAGCCTGGACCCGCCAAACAACAATGACGGCTGCAACCAAAAAACAGCCGGGCGTTGTGGCGGGCGCCTGTGGTCCCAGCTACTTGGGAGGCTGAGGCAGGAGATTCGCTTGAGCCCAGGAGTTGGAG